GAACTCCTTTCCAAAAAGGCTACCCCATGCACTACTCCAACTCAGATTGCTCTCACAAAACTACTATTTCACTTCGCAAAAGGGTAACAATGAGGGTGACAGATTGGAATAATCACAATTTTTCAACCAAACCTACCAATGACTTTTATTTGACTGATTGATTTCCTTGCTTGTGTTGTGTATTGCCTGTTGGTCATCTTAAATTTTCGAGTCACCTCTTTCACCGTCTCTCATCTCATTAAAAATGAGCACTTTGAAATCGGATAATTGTAGCGCGAACTATCCCTCTATGCAACAGCTGTGACGTTCGTTTGGCGTATAGGGTCTCATCGTGCAGCGCTTTGTTTCAACATCGCTTTTTTGTTGATCGTTCACTGTTTAGTTTGGCGGTTGGGCTCTTTAGCTTTGTTACGGATTCGAAACCGTTTACCATATTCGTTATTCAACTAATAACTACGGATGCTCACTCACCTGCTCAGTGGCTAATTTAATGATGAAAAGGCAGCTCATCAGAAGATAGGGGAGAGATGGTCAGTGGTACACAGAAGAAAAAGAAACATGGGGAACGGCCCAGAACCATTTCCCTGCCTCTGGATTTCTGCACTGATGCGACACTCATCGGTGCTGCCCTTTTCAACACTAACGCTCTCTCTGCTGATCGGCAGAGGTTTGGAGCGGGGTGAGGGGGGGGGGGCACTGCGTCGATAGCGCCGCGGAGAGGGTCACGCTACAACATCGAGTTCATATACTTCACTGCGAATTGAGTGTCGTCCGCACCTCTGGAGCTCCGCATGTCTTCCCTCTAGATGAGTTCCCCTAGTTTGACCCATGACCCTATCGTGAAATCCTCCTTGAATCGGGACGCCTCTCTCCGTTTCCCCAGTTTTGAAACTAAGAAATTTATCACAAAGATCCCCCAGCCTGATTGCTGATAAGGAACTTTTCACCAGGATTTGATCACGTGAATCAGCCCGCACTAAAACATACTTCACGATCAGCTGCTGATAGATGCTATTATAAAAGAGGTTATATGTGTTATCATTGCCCTGAAGGCGGTACTAAAACGACGTTATGAGGCTTTATGGGACGACTTCACGATAAGAACGAAGGTCGAAGAAGGGGAAATTGCCTAGTTGGGAGACAGGCGGACCTCCTGAGGGTGCTGACCGACGCGCAATTGGCAGCGAAAGATTTGACCTCGGCGATCTAGCATGGCTCACTCTTGGCGCGGTTGGCGGGTACGCCCACCGACTATCTAATCACTCGCCGCAGGTCTATACGTGGCGAGTGATTAGATAGCAGAGAGAGCGTAGTGTTGAAGAGGGCACAGCGATGAGAGTCGCATCAATGCGCAAATCAACGGGCAAGGAAGGGGTCCCATTTCTCGGGTTCTGGGCCATTTTCCTCAGTTTTTTTCTCGAACGGGTCATTTGAACTACACTTCCTGATAAGACCCGATGAAATGCCTACCTCCTGAGTATTCTGTCCAAATCTCTTCACGGAGTCGGCGTTTCATCATCTCTGGAGCTACTCCTTCCCCTTCCTCGCGGAAATGCCCATTCCTCAGCCTAGGATGGCTTCATCGCATTGTTTGAAGGAGGATTCCATGATAGGGTCAGATTCAGTAAAAGGAGAATATACGTACATGAAAGGGAGGTGAGCCCTCTAAGGGTGTGGGACGATACGCGTTGCGCCCCAAAGGATGTCTCTAGCGGTTAGCGGGGCTATACTCCGCACTCTCGCCAAGTGGCTAACACCGTCCATTGGTAGCCACTTTAGCAAGGAGAGCGTTAGCGCCCACCCACTATTATGGCTGTTTATGTAGTAACCACTCGACGTAGCCGAAAACCCACTTTTTCATCCGAGGTAGCCGTCGAGTGAGGGGGAGTAAAAAATTGAAAATTTCGAAAAATCTCGAACAAATCCTCGGCTGTCCAACTGCTAAAAAAGACCTCTTCCAACATTTGAGTGATGAGAGAAAGTATTCCTCTTATGTGGGCTAGTCCTTGATCAGGATTGGATTCGAGACGAGAACATACGCACCGAGGAGTTTCTCCAAGGCAAAATTTCCTTCTTGGGAAGCGTTGTACCCCCAGAGCACGTGGCAGTGGGAGGTGTTTTGGCTCATCGATGAATGCAGTGCATTCTTTTCCATTCTTGGTCTGATTGGCGGAGCGATCAAAAAATAACCTTGAGGCAGAACGCGTTGGCATTCGTGTCCATCGCGTTTAGTTTAATTGAAGGTATCCTTCACGGAAGAAATCATGATTCTATTTCAGCCATAAATCACTGGCTTGAGACCCATCATCCACGATAAGAATGAAAAGAACAGAAATTGCATTTGTTTTGGTAAAAATTCGAAAAACCGAAAGGGCTGCTACGCGTTCAAAGTACCGCCGGACATCTGTCACAAATGCTGGCGACGGGAATGCTTCCACTTGGTTCTTGGAGTGCCTTCACTAGAAACTTTCTGGCCTTTTGACTTATTGCATTCACATCTCACACTTCTACTGCATCCTATTCTATCGATCGATTTGTCTCTACTCTCCAAAATCGCACGCTTTAACCCGATTCTTTCATTGCGTCGCCTGATACGTAGCCGCCCCAAGGCGGACTTCTTTCCATGCCCCGCCTTTGGCTCCGCCCTTTTACCTTCGATTGTCCATAGAGTGTAGTTTTTGTACGTTTGTTTCTCTTCGGAAACCGAATCTTCATGCGTGAAACTTTGTGCTGTTTCCAGTGATCACAACTGACACATTCATGTTAGAAAAGACGCAAGAATTTTCCGCGAAGGACTTCCTGTAATCTTTATCTACAAGCAATGACGCAAATTTCTGTACTCTCGTCGAAACCAGGCAAAAATTTGTAAAGGATATTAGCAGCAAAATGTCCGAAGCACTCATCAAACTTTACCTTTATCGGACCATTTCCTCCTCATATTGATGGAACTCAATCTGAGGATTCGCCAAATCAAAACAAGACGCACAAGTCTGACCGATTTCTTTTCCGGATGCACACTGCAGAAAGGCGAATTTGTTGCCCGTGAGATGGAGATGCCTCAGATTTTGGTCGCGCTTGCTTTGATAAATACTTTGTGATTGACGATAACGACTTCTTTTGATATCTGCTTTTGTCCGAAAGTCACGGGTGGTAAGTTCATACGTGATTCCCTTTCATCTCCCTTGCCGCACCCGTGAAGTCGTAACATCACCAGCACGCGTTCGCGTCCACGCCGCTGGTGAGCTTTTCTTTCCCCTCCCCCCGCTCTTTGTTGGTAACCCATTGAGTTGCAGTTCTGCGTTGTAAAATTTCTAACAATTTTTTCATCTTTGTTACGAGCCAGTCAAGTCTTTCATAAACCCATCAACGTTGGCCAAATGCGAAAACTGCAGTATTCGATTGTTTGTATATTACAATGATCATTTTAAAGAACTGACGACAGCGTGGTAACATGTATGCCGCTTTTTCCAGGCCACGTTGGTCGCCACTCTCATTACGTTCATTTTTTGTGCTTGCCCAACTTATTTCCGAGTTTTTTTTTGTTTTCATTCTTTAGACAACACGTTAACATAGCTGTAAACGGCAAGCTTCTCAGATTGGTCAAATAAGCTTTCATTTGGCAAAGATTCTCTAAACCTCATAGAATTTCCAATTCAATTTTTACTGCTAGTTTTCCTTTGACTGTCATGAAAATTGAGAAGACAGTGATATAACAGTTCTTGACCTACTGTTTTTTTTTTTTCGATTTGTTTTTCTTCTTGTTTCGTTCTTAGTTGTTTTCCACAGTTACCAATGTCACTGCAACCTATAACGCATTCTGTTAAGAAGGCCTTAACAGTTTGGAAAAAAAGACTTCTAGTTGGATAATTTCGAGTTGCTACGGACATTTCTTCTACAAACTATCCGAAATTTGTGTAACTTTCGAGGTGTTCTAGATCAAATTAATTCCGCAGGCGGGTCCGAAACTGAATTGTTAGGGCTAGGGAATACCTAACATCCGAAAATTCAGTTTCGGATTCTGTACATATATGCCATAGTCGTCAAAGAGTGGCGTTATCCCTAGCGCCATCCGCCTACCTAGATTCTTACAAAGGTGATTTTGTGTATAGTCTAAGAACAACTCGGCCGAAAAAAAAACTTGCTTTTTTTCTCTGTTTATGTGATAGTTTTTTCCATTCGCGTTGAAGGTCTATCAAACTTTTTTTCCTGTATAAGCTGTACTCTTGTGTCCGGAATAGCGCACCTACGCGTGCACCCAATAAATAAATAAAATAAGTAAATAAATTGATATCAAAGATCATAGCAGAAAAAAATAAAAGCAAAATTATAGATAGCAAAGCATGTGTTCTAAAAGGATAACACAAGATGAAAATGTTCATGCCATTCGCAGCAGAAGTTGGCCTTTTTTGCTTCTTCTTCTCTGCGTTTTTTGGACAACATTTTACGGTTATTTGTTTGGTTAACCTCCACGCTTTCATCGTAGCTGAAATTACCCTATGACACTTTTGTTTTCCTGCATTTAATAACCAGAATAAACCAATATAAAGCAGACCGGCGCGCGCGCGAAATCGCTTCTGTCCCATGCGGCCAAAAATGCCAAAACAGGCGATGTCGTCGCGTGTTAAGGTTGTCCAGAATTCCAGGGAAGACTAAAAACAAGCAGACAAAGCTTTCCAGTGGCCACTAATTATTCATTAAAAGAAACATAAATGGGATTGTGGCCTGTCAATCCGATATTTCAGTTCACAAAAAAAACAGATGAATTCAGCATGAACAAATTAATTGGCACTTGAAATGAAGAAGCGATAGCATCACCTTCCATTCATAAGAAAAGCTGTTGCTCACATTTTCTTAAAAAACGTTCCTTTTCTATGTTTTAGAATAAAAGGGAAATCCTTATAAAGCCCTTGTAGAAAAAGCGAATATAAACAAGAAAATAGATGAAGGCAGGTCATTTACAAATTTGCTACATGAAAACGGCATAATGAACCGTTTTTAAGGCCGAGGGATTACCACTGATATCTGGTGTCACGTCGGATGGTGCACCGTTATTTCAAGGGATTCTAAACTGCCCAGAGTCGAGGCAAACAACAACCATCATCACTACAACTACTACTACATATAGAATGGTAGAGGTGAGCGACAGCGACTCCATGTCTGACGATTTTGAATTGGTGGACAGCAGTTCTCTAACAGTGGATGTACCACTGGTAACATCGCGTACACCATCTCCATCTCAATACATGATTGTTGGAAAGACAGAATCAGCGGCTCCTCTTTCACCAGTTCTGCGATCGACGGTGAACATTGATCTCGAACTCCCTCCGAGTCGGATTGAGCGAGCCAAAGAGCTGGACGAGAAGCCCATCATGGAAGAAGTGTCTGTGTACCATTCCGGCGTCTCATCAGATCATGAGGGGACTCAATCCACAGCCGAGATAGAAAAGGTGGAGTCGCCGGAAATATATACTCAAGAAGATGTCACATCAACAAGCGATAAAGACTATGGCATCAACATCCGTAGCAGTAGCGACCTCAAAACAATTAGCACATCTTCAGATGATGAAGATTTTTTTAATTGGAACAGAGATGGTGCAGATGACCACTAGTGGCAGTTCGATTAACGAAGAAAGATATGATGGTTATTTAAAAGAAGTGTGTGGGGAAGAAAGTGCAAAGATATCAACTGGAGGAGCAAGGGATTCGCATGGTATGAATACTACTGAGGTGGCGAAAATGTTTAGCGAAAAAATCGCAAGGATGCTCAAAAGCCAACCTGCTACAGAAAGCTACTCTGCATCACAATATTACGCAGGTTCTTATAGTGAGCAATCACCTGAATCCCTTGAAAAAGCTACCGTAACCACGAAGGATGCCCCGCTCAAGGAAGCATATTACAGTTACCCTTCAACTTCTGCATACAATGGTCCACTAGAGAGCACGTCGCGAACTGAAGACATCTATGGTGAACCACTCACGCACCACGTTAGTGTGTACCATAGTGGACGTTCTGACGAGCCTGCACCAAAACCCGAAGAGGAACACGTTGACATTGCAGATGCAGCGAAGGCATTTGGTGAGAAGGTGACCGGACTGTTCAGGAGAGGCCCAGCCCATCTCGACTATCCAGTCTCCGAGACATACGAAGGACCACTGGATAGCACTCCGCGAACTGATGACATCTATGGTGAACCACTCACGCACCACGTTAGTGTGTACCACAGTGGACGTTCTGACGAGCCAGCACCAAAACCCGAAGAAGAACACGTCGACATTGCAGATGCAGCCAAAGCATTCGGAGAGAAGATCACTGGTCTGTTCAAGAGAAGACCAACTATTCCAGATTATCCAACATCAGAACCCTATGTCGGTCCATTAGTGGACACGTCACGACGTGAAGACATCGAGTCACAACCATTGAGGACAGTGGTGACGGTATACCACAGCGGACGATCTGATGTTCCTCTTGAGAAAGCAGCGGTGATTACTGAAGAAGTTCCACCAGCAGGTACAATGTACTACGACTATCCCACTACTGCAGCTTACGAAGGCCCACTTGACAGCACTCCGCGAACTGATGACATCTATGGTGAACCACTCACGCACCACGTTAGTGTGTACCACAGTGGACGTTCTGACGAGCCAGCACCAAAACCCGAAGAAGAACACGTCGACATTGCAGATGCAGCCAAAGCATTCGGAGAGAAGATCACTGGTCTGTTCAAGAGAAGACCAACTATTCCAGATTATCCAACATCAGAACCCTATGTCGGTCCATTAGTGGACACGTCACGACGTGAAGACATCGAGTCACAACCATTGAGGACAGTGGTGACGGTATACCACAGCGGACGATCTGATGTTCCTCTTGAGAAAGCAGCGGTGATTACTGAAGAAGTTCCACCAGCGAGGGACATGTACTACGACTATCCCACTACTGCAGCTTACGAAGGCCCACTTGACAGCACTCCGCGAACTGATGACATCTATGGTGAACCACTCACGCACCACGTTAGTGTGTACCATAGTGGACGTTCTGACGAGCCTGCACCAAAACCCGAAGAGGAACACGTTGACATTGCAGATGCAGCGAAGGCATTTGGTGAGAAGGTGACCGGACTGTTCAGGAGAGGCCCAGCCCATCTCGACTATCCAGTCTCCGAGACATACGAAGGACCACTGGATAGCACTCCGCGACTGATGACATCTATGGTGAACCACTCACGCACCACGTTAGTGTGTACCACAGTGGACGTTCTGACGAGCCAGCACCAAAACCCGAAGAAGAACACGTCGACATTGCAGATGCAGCCAAAGCATTCGGAGAGAAGATCACTGGTCTGTTCAAGAGAAGACCAACTATTCCAGATTATCCAACATCAGAACCCTATGTCGGTCCATTAGTGGACACGTCACGACGTGAAGACATCGAGTCACAACCATTGAGGACAGTGGTGACGGTATACCACAGCGGACGATCTGATGTTCCTCTTGAGAAAGCAGCGGTGATTACTGAAGAAGTTCCACCAGCGAGGGACATGTACTACGACTATCCCACTACTGCAGCTTACGAAGGCCCACTTGACAGCACTCCGCGAACTGATGACATCTATGGTGAACCACTCACGCACCACGTTAGTGTGTACCATAGTGGACGTTCTGACGAGCCTGCACCAAAACCCGAAGAGGAACACGTTGACATTGCAGATGCAGCGAAGGCATTTGGTGAGAAGGTGACCGGACTGTTCAGGAGAGGCCCAGCCCATCTCGACTATCCAGTCTCCGAGACATACGAAGGACCACTGGATAGCACTCCGCGGACTGATGACATCTATGGTGAACCACTCACGCACCACGTTAGTGTGTACCACAGTGGACGTTCTGACGAGCCAGCACCAAAACCCGAAGAAGAACACGTCGACATTGCAGATGCAGCCAAAGCATTCGGAGAGAAGATCACTGGTCTGTTCAAGAGAAGACCAACTATTCCAGATTATCCAACATCAGAACCCTATGTCGGTCCATTAGTGGACACGTCACGACGTGAAGACATCGAGTCACAACCATTGAGGACAGTGGTGACGGTATACCACAGCGGACGATCTGATGTTCCTCTTGAGAAAGCAGCGGTGATTACTGAAGAAGTTCCACCAGCGAGGGACATGTACTACGACTATCCCACTACTGCAGCTTACGAAGGCCCACTTGACAGCACTCCGCGAACTGATGACATCTATGGTGAACCACTCACGCACCACGTTAGTGTGTACCATAGTGGACGTTCTGACGAGCCTGCACCAAAACCCGAAGAGGAACACGTTGACATTGCAGATGCAGCGAAGGCATTTGGTGAGAAGGTGACCGGACTGTTCAGGAGAGGCCCAGCCCATCTCGACTATCCAGTCTCCGAGACATACGAAGGACCACTGGATAGCACTCCGCGGACTGATGACATCTATGGTGAACCACTCACGCACCACGTTAGTGTGTACCACAGTGGACGTTCTGACGAGCCAGCACCAAAACCCGAAGAAGAACACGTCGACATTGCAGATGCAGCCAAAGCATTCGGAGAGAAGATCACTGGTCTGTTCAAGAGAAGACCAACTATTCCAGATTATCCAACATCAGAACCCTATGTCGGTCCATTAGTGGACACGTCACGACGTGAAGACATCGAGTCACAACCATTGAGGACAGTGGTGACGGTATACCACAGCGGACGATCTGATGTTCCTCTTGAGAAAGCAGCGGTGATTACTGAAGAAGTTCCACCAGCGAGGGACATGTACTACGACTATCCCACTACTGCAGCTTACGAAGGCCCCTTGACAGCACTCACAACACTCCGCACCGAACTAGCACACTGACATCTATGGTGAACCACTCACGCACCACGTTAGTGTGTACCATAGTGGACGTTCTGACGAGCCTGCACCAAAACCCGAAGAGGAACACGTTGACATTGCAGATGCAGCGAAGGCATTTGGTGAGAAGGTGACCGGACTGTTCAGGAGAGGCCCAGCCCATCTCGACTATCCAGTCTCCGAGACATACGAAGGACCACTGGATAGCACTCCGCGGACTGATGACATCTATGGTGAACCACTCACGCACCACGTTAGTGTGTACCACAGTGGACGTTCTGACGAGCCAGCACCAAAACCCGAAGAAGAACACGTCGACATTGCAGATGCAGCCAAAGCATTCGGAGAGAAGATCACTGGTCTGTTCAAGAGAAGACCAACTATTCCAGATTATCCAACATCAGAACCCTATGTCGGTCCATTAGTGGACACGTCACGACGTGAAGACATCGAGTCACAACCATTGAGGACAGTGGTGACGGTATACCACAGCGGACGATCTGATGTTCCTCTTGAGAAAGCAGCAGTGATTACTGAAGAAGTTCCACCAGCGAGGGACATGTACTACGACTATCCCACTACTGCAGCTTACGAAGGCCCACTTGACAGCACTCCGCGAACTGATGACATCTATGGTGAACCACTCACGCACCACGTTAGTGTGTACCACAGTGGACGTTCTGACGAGCCAGCACCAAAACCCGAAGAAGAACACGTTGACATTGCAGATGCAGCGAAAGCATTCGGTGAGAAGGTCACTGGACTGTTCAGGAGAGGCCCAGCCCATCTCGACTATCCAGTCTCCGAGACATACGAAGGACCACTTGGATAGCACTCCGCGAACTGATGACATCTACGGTGAACCACTCACGCACCACGTTAGTGTGTACCACAGTGGACGTTCTGACGAGCCAGCACCAAAACCCGAAGAAGAACACGTCGACATTGCAGATGCAGCCAAAGCATTCGGAGAGAAGATCACTGGTCTGTTCAAGAGAAGACCAACTATTCCAGATTATCCAACATCAGAACCCTATGTCGGTCCATTAGTGGACACGTCACGACGTGAAGACATCGAGTCACAACCATTGAGGACAGTGGTGACGGTATACCACAGCGGACGATCTGATGTTCCTCTTGAGAAAGCAGCGGTGATTACTGAAGAAGTTCCACCAGCGAGGGACATGTACTACGACTATCCCACTACTGCAGCTTACGAAGGCCCACTTGACAGCACTCCGCGAACTGATGACATCTATGGTGAACCACTCACGCACCACGTTAGTGTGTACCACAGTGGACGTTCTGACGAGCCAGCACCAAAACCCGAAGAAGAACACGTTGACATTGCAGATGCAGCGAAAGCATTCGGTGAGAAGGTCACTGGACTGTTCAGGAGAGGCCCAGCCCATCTCGACTATCCAGTCTCCGAGACATACGAAGGACCACTGGATAGCACTCCGCGGACTGATGACATCTATGGTGAACCACTCACGCACCACGTTAGTGTGTACCACAGTGGACGTTCTGACGAGCCAGCACCAAAACCCGAAGAAGAACACGTCGACATTGCAGATGCAGCCAAAGCATTCGGAGAGAAGATCACTGGTCTGTTCAAGAGAAGACCAACCATTCCGGATTATCCGACCTCAGAACCCTATGTTGGTCCACTAGCGGACACAACACGACGTGAAGACATCGAATCTCATCCTCTGAGGACCGTGGTAACGGTTTACCACAGCGGACGATCTGACGTTCCTCTTGAGAAAGCAGCAGTGATTACTGAAGAAGTTCCACCAGCAAAGGATATGTACTACGACTATCCTACTACTGCAGTATATGAAGGTCCACTTGACAGCACTCCACGAACTGATGACATCTACGGTGAACCGCTCACCCACTATGTCACCGTGTATCACAGTGGACGATCCGATGAGCCAACTCCGAAACCTGAAGAAGAACACGTTGATATTGCAGATGCAGCGAAAGCATTCGGTGAGAAGGTCACTGGACTGTTCAGGAGAGGCCCTGCCCATCTCGACTATCCTGTCTCCGAGACATACGAAGGACCATTGGATAGCACTCGGCGAACTGATGACATCTACGGTGAACCACTCACGCACCACGTTAGTGTGTACCACAGTGGACGTTCTGACGAGCCAGCACCAAAACCTGAAGAACACGTTGACATTGCAGATGCAGCGAAAGCATTCGGTGAGAAGGTCACTGGACTGTTCAGGAGAGGCCCTGCCCATCTCGACTATCCTGTCTCCGAGACATACGAAGGACCATTGGATAGCACTCGGCGAACTGATGACATCTACGGTGAACCACTCACGCACCACGTTAGTGTGTACCACAGTGGACGTTCTGACGAGCCAGCACCAAAACCTGAAGAAGAACACGTTGACATTGCAGATGCAGCGAAAGCATTCGGTGAGAAGGTCACTGGACTGTTCAGGAGAGGCCCTGCCCATCTCGACTATCCTGTCTCCGAGACATACGAAGGACCATTGGATAGCACTCGGCGAACTGATGACATCTACGGTGAACCACTCACGCACCACGTTAGTGTGTACCACAGTGGACGTTCTGACGAGCCAGCACCGAAAACCGAAGAGGAGCATGTTAGCGTTATTGACAAAGCATTAGGAGAGGAAACATCAACTATCTTAAGGAACGGGTCTGCTCGTGGTTATACTGTTAGTGAGCCACGTGAAGAGCCTTTCGGAAAAGGTTTTCGTACCTGGGAAATGAACGGTGGCGCCTTCAAACAGCACGTGGAACCACGTCGTGAACCCGCGAGAATCATAGGTGACGAAAAATGGTATGACGTGGAGAAAGATAGACACATAGATACTGCATATGAAGAAGTGCGTAACAAGATTGATCTAGATGTGTTCTTTAATGTCAAATCCCAGGAAGAAAAGGAGTCACCTGAAGATGCCTTCAAGGAGTCTCAAGAAGAAGAACTTGTGTTTTTAAGTGCCGACAAGTTGGAGCGAGATCAGCAACCTGTCGGCTTTTCTGTATCGATTAGTGCGCGACAGCCAGTAGACCGTAAAAGTTCTGAGCTGTTCTCTTCTCCTTTGAGAGAATCGTCATCAGACACACGGTACCTGCGTGAACATTCACTGAGGAGCGAACGTGGTCGACGACATCGACTTTCTCCACACACATGGACAACAGTTCGAGAACGTACCGAGGTTACTTATGTGAGAAAAGTTCGTGTTGAAAGATCTCTTAGCCCTCAGACTCCAGCACGTTCGCACTTCATCAAGAGAGTCCCTTACAAGACGAGCGCCGAAACTCGTGACAATGCCTATTCGTGCAGATCATCGAACTTCGATGAACGTGTTATGGTCCATCATCCAATTTATCCACCCAATGAATCGCTCTACCGTAACGGGGTGTATGACGCTGAAATGCGAAACGGCCATTCACGAACATATAGTCCAGTTCGTGAGGTGGCTGCTTTTGATCGAACTGAGTGGATTGATCAGCATCCCAGCTACATACCACCAAATAGACGATCGGACGAGATTTTCACGGTCGGCACGCCATTCATCATGGGTCACGTGGAGCGCGATGGTAACGGCTGCGCTTATTTACGCTATCAAAGCAGCGGTCTACAGGAGCGCCCTCCATTGCCTGAACGTATCGACGATCTCCCAATGATTGAAGAGGGAGCAATCGAGTGTCGTCGAGCCACCGTCCGTGCTGGTTTACGCGACATGGATACAGTTGGACTTGTTCAGGACGAAGAAGAACTCGAAAGACGACGTCGACCGATTAGACGCGCCAGACAGCGCATGCGTAATTATTGCACAATGCTTTAGAATATTTCTATACTTCTCTGAGACGTTCATGTAGTTACCGTGTTTAACTGTGAAATGATACTCAACATCGTTACAATTCCGAATCTGGTGCGAACGACGACTACGATTATGACGATTGCTACTAATTTCCATGCTATTTTTACTGTTCGCTGACGACGCTTGCTTGATGGCATTGCTTCAGCTGTTGTTATAATTGTAATGCCAGCTCATAATGTTCAACATGTCAATACATTTATAGGTTCATAGCACATTCATTTCATAGAATTTCTCAATTTGTTATATCGTTTTGTCGACGTTGTGGGTTGTTACCGACATCGTACACCGGGTAATCTCATTGTATAGCTTTCAATAGACGCATGCTCGTTGTTGCGATTATTTTCTCTTTATAAATAATGAATCTGAATACTAATTTGATTTGAACTACAGCTGCATGAAAATACGAAAGAAATCTGAAGTGATTTTTGGTGTGCCATTTATGGTAACGTAGTTGCACCTAACCTCCCCTTCAAAAAGCCAGAAAGTGTCGGGTGCAGACCATACACCACAAGTGACGACGGCCTCCAGAAAATGCAAATGTTTTTGCCAATGAAATGATTAGCCTGTTGCAGTTGTATTCTATCAGT